AAGATTACAAACACCTCAAGCTGGAAAGACAAACTTTTGTGTGAATGATCTTTCAAGGTCACAACCTGCAATACTCCAAAGGCAACAAATGCTCTGCGAACATAGAGTCATAGTATCCCTGGATAGCTGGCCTCAAAATTTACTTGAATCCATGTCTGGAATTTTTTATCTTCAAGATAAATTTATGGCATTTTCCCTCTCTTTCTTTGCCCTTTTGAAAGACTAAACAAGCTTTTTTGCTCAGCCTTTCAGCATTTTCTGTTGTGGCCAGAACCACAACTACTTAATGCCATCTTGAATTTGGCACTTAGATCTAGAAAATTCCGGTGGAATTATTCAATTATTGATCTCAAGGCAGGGGCATGTGTTTTGCTGATGGCATCCCTGTGATTGGCTAGGGTATAGAGCTATTTGCGGTCTGAGGGGGGCAAAAGTGTGGACTTATCTTTGTTGTTGCATTAACTTTGGAAGAATTCTTAGCTGGATAAATATTTGATAAATTTAATGGATTTATCAGGCACAAAAGATGCACACAATATCACATTGAAGCTAGTAAGCTGAAGTGCAGAAAATTTAATGTAACTTTGGAAAAAATTTAACATTATGCGAGGTCCTTAAAAACTACCATACATGATAAAGTTTGCAATATATAAAATCTATTTTTGTTAGTATCTAATTTACTTACTAAGACTTAGTTTATGTAAAACTGATATTTACTCATTAAAAATTGTTTATGACTACTTAAAACTTGGAATTGTCTTTTCCATACACAGATGGTATAGAAGAACATTAATTGTATTTCTCAGTTCTTGTGAGCAGTTTTTGGAAGGTTTGTGTTTTCCATGTTAAAACTTGGAATTGTCTTTTCCATACACAGATGGTATAGAAGAACATTAATTGTATTTCTCAGTTCTTGTGAGCAGTTTTTGGAAGGTTTGTGTTTTCCATGTTCTGTACTTTGGTTGGTGCTTGAGTGGTAGCATTAACCTTGGCATTTAAAGCAGACACATGAAAGCTCTCCCAAAGGGGAATGTAGAGAATAGAGGCGATCACTAGGCAAAGATATGTACAAACTTGTATGTGTGGCGGAAGGGATTGCCACTTTCAGATGAGTTTATGGTATTAACTAAATGTCTCTATGATCTACCATTTGCTCATTAATAGCCTCAAGTCTCCAAGTAGGGAGAATGGGCGGGTGCATTAATTTCTTATCTGCATGTTTGGTTTGAATTAGAATTGCTTTGCTTGTCGGTTAACTTGAACCTTCTTTGCCTTTGTGTCTTTCCAGTCTCCCAGAGTAACCATGCAGTAGTTTATTTCCTCTCCTAGAAGTCTATTCTGGGTAAATTTGTAATTAATAACGATAAAAGCTAATTATAATAGTTATTAGGAAAGTACAGACTAAGTTGCAAATGAAATTATTTAGAGTTACTACATGCTTTAAAAATCTACAAGTGTACAAAAAAGTGAAAATTGAAACGTTTTAGTAAAAATATGGTGGTCTTTGATGATATGGTGGTCTTTGGCAGCTAACAGTTCCATGATAAAATTGTAACACTGCAGAAACCACAGCACAGGGAATTACTTTCACATCATGACATTTATGCATTAGGCACTGAACCCAAACCAAAGAATTGATGCACTCATTTCAGTTCTGTGTAACTTAACATTTTGAGGGTGGAGTGCAACAATTCCACAAAAACCTGGGGCAAGCAGTTAACCCTTTTATCAGTCAACATTCTTGTTGCCAGTCAAACCAGGAGTTCTCATCAGGGGGACAAAATCTGCGTTGCTTTGCTGAATCTCCAGCTTGGATAGAGTGGTGTAGAATGGCTATCAAGTTCTTTTGTGTGGTGTAAACAGCTGCATTTATCTCACTATCTGATGGATTTGAGTTTGACTGAATGCTATGTGTAACGGTTAGACCATGCTATCTCTGAATCTTCTTTATTTGTTTGTCTGAGGTGGCCATGCCCCCCAACTGGCTTTTTCATGTGAAAAACACTTGCCTCAAGGAAATCACAGGGCATTACAGAACAAGCAGAAAGCAAAAAAAATGTTTGAATTACTAAAGTAATTTAGGGTAGAGCAAACATTGCCAAACAATAAATCTACAACTATGTACCTACTGTCTTATACACACAGTCAAACAGAAACTGTACAACAAAGTTAAAACATTTTTCAGAGAACTGTTCAGAACAATTGAAGTTGACCACATGTTAAATGATAGAGATAGTTGAGGAAAACTTGTTTAGATCTACTTGCTTACATCCTTGTCCTTTAAAATCCCTTTCTTCATCTGAGCTTTCTGATCAATAGTCTGATAAAGCCAGGTTGGATCTAGACTCACTGAGTCATCCATCAGTGTCAGATTCAAAGGAAGATGACCTTAGTGATGTATCAGGTGTTGCATAATCATAGTTATAATGATAATAAAAGTTATGATAATTGTTATTTGTTCTAATTGACCAAAAGCACCTATCAAAGTTCCTAATACATATGTAAATTGCATTATAAGTTTAATGTTTGTTAATTTAGGAACAAATCTGAGGTGTTCGAAAGCTAAAAGGAATGACTAAATGAAAAGGTCTTCACTTTACTCTTAAGGAAACTTAAGCATGCTACATTTCTTATTTGGTCTGGTAAATTTTTCCAGAGTGAGGGAACAATAACTGAAAAAGTGCAATTTCCATAGGAGTCAAGATTATCCTCAGAGACCACTAACAATTCCTTGTTGTTGAGGTGGAGGGGAGTGTCCAAGGCGTATTATTAATTAAGAGGTCTGCATCAACAACTTCACTCACAGGGGATGTTTCTCTAGTTTGCCTTTCTTTTTTTTAATAATGGTTTAGGACTTTTTATTGGTCATCTCAGAGGACAATCACTACCACAAGAGAAAAGTCTTGGCAAGTTAGTTGTCAGGTTGATTGTAGCTTGCTAGAGCTTGCTTTCGAGAGATATGCCTCATGTAAAATTATACATAGATATACATATAGGAAGTCTGTGTTTTGATTTTTCTGTTGTACAGTGCTTGATATGTAGAAGTGGAGTGCGATATGTATGAGATTGAGAAAAAACAGAGACTATACTTTTATCCCTATTGTACAAGCCTATTTCATGATTACTCACTCATCAGGGGATTTTATTGTGAAGAATATTCATAACCATCATTTATATAATTTACAAACTTGCATAAAGGTGTGGTGGGAAATTTCAATGTTTTGTTCAATTGCTACTCAGTAATTCTTTGTTTCTGTGGTGGCATGAGGACACATGTTTATGTTTATTGAGTGATGATAATTCAGGTTGGTGGATGATAAGTATTTTTCTTTGAGGCAGAGGTTGCATCTTTTGCTTGTGCTGTTGTAGGGTGATCTTGATGAAAGGATGTGCCATAAAATAAAGTGGTCAATGTTATTTTCTTTAAGGGTCCAGATATGTTTGCTGAGTTCGGTAGAGTTTCTGTGTTTTGTGTGTTGGAATGATGTGGTTTGGTTTCTGTATTTAGTCTTGAAGTTGTTTTCTGTAAGTCTGATCTATGTTTCAGTGGTGCTGTTGTCCTTATGTGTGACGGTGGCTTGGTAGATTAATGATGACTGGAGGCAGTTTCCGTTAAGTGGGCATGTGTTCTTCTGTTGGCAGGTGCAAGTTTCAGTGTCTTTTGCGTTGGTGTTATCTGTGGTGTCATTAAAGTGTTTGGATGAATTTAAAATTCGTTTGTTGCAGTTGTCGATGGTCCGTTTAGTGTTATTCATGTAGCTGTAGCAGATTTTGATTGTGTTATGATTAAAGATTCTTCAAAGTTTGTGGTCTTTTGGGAATTGCTTGTCTATTATGGCAAGGAATCTGTGTCTGATATTGGTGCTGACATTTTTGCTTAATGGTTGGTTGTACCAGAGTATGTTGTTCTGTTGACTGTCTTTTCATTTGTTAGTTGTGGGTGGTTCATAATATAGAGTGGACTGGTATCCGCATTTGTCGAGTGCTTTTTGATATGGAGCCGCCCCTCCATATCAAAAAGCACTTGATGAATGCTTTTTGATATGGAGGGGCGGCTCCATATCAATAAGCACTCGAAGAATGCAGATACTAGTGCATTTACATTAGAAACTACCCACAACTACTCTGGTACAACCCCCCATTCAGCAAAAATGTCGGCACCAATATTGAAACCAATTCTTTGCCCTAGTAGACAAGCATTTACCAAAAGACCACAAACTTAGAAGAGTCTTTAATAGTAACACAATCAAAATCAGTTACAGCTGCATGAAGAGCACTAAACAGATTGTTGACAATCACAACAAATGCATTTTAAATTCATCCAAGCACGTCAATGACACCACAGATAACACCAACACAAAAGACACCAAGACTTGCAGCTTCAAACATATCACATGCCCACTTAACGGAAATTGCCTCCAGTCATCACTAATCTACCAAGCCACTGTCGCATGTAAGGACAACAGCACCACTAAGACATCATCAGACTTACAGAAAACAACTTCAAGACTAGATACAGAAACCACACTGCATTGTTCTAACACACAAAACACAGAAACAGTCTACTGAACTCAGCAAGCATATCTGGACCTGTAAAGATAATAACATTGACTACTTTATTTCATGGTGCATCCTTTCATGAAGATCACCCTGTTGTATCCTCCTAATGCATATACTATGCCTTGGATTCGTACAGATAAGATTTACACACTGATCGACCATGTGCTTCTTCTTTTTTTACCTACTTCATATATGAGTACATGAAGCCTGTCTGCGCTCAGTACGTCATGTAATACATGACATCCCTCCTTTTCTTGAAGAAAGAAAACAATAGTCCTTAAGACTTAATCAAAACAAAACATGCGAATCTGAAAATTGGACGGAGAGCTGGTAATAACTAATTCGCTTAATTTCAACACGAGATTCACCGGTTCTAAGCAGTCCTTGTATCAAAACAACAATTAACATTTCGAATCAAAGTTCACTGTTTCAAACGAAGTTCAACATTTTAAAACAAAGTCTTTATATCTCCCAGGGAGTCTCCTCTGTCTCTGAGGTCTTCCACCTTTTAGTGTTGCTGGTGGGCTAGGTACTGTTGCTTGATCAACTGCTGCATTCTTACTAGCAGAGGTTGTACCAGATTTGCTTCCTGCACTTGCTTGTGCTAAAGGTGTGAGATGAGTTAGGGGTCTACTGGGAGGTGTTGTAGGCACTACTGGTGTAGATCCACTCATCACTTGATTTGGTACCACGGTAATTTCAGGTGTTGTCGGTACATCGACACTGACAGGTGGTTCTTCCGGATTGTCAGGGCTCACAAACTTCTTGACATGGGATGTATTCCTTGAATACTGCGTTCCACCTGGAGTTTCCACAACAACACTGTTACCGGTCTTGCTAACCACTTGGAATGGTACTGGATTAAATGGCGTGGAAAACTTGTCTCTTTTCTCTTGCCTCACCAGGACTTGATCACCAACTTGAACTTCTGATGGTTTTGCATTCATGGATTTATCAGCTATTACTTTGGTCTTTGCTTTCACTTCGGCATCTCTATCTCGAGTTTCCAGGTCCAAGTGATGGTCGGCATGTAGCTCTGGTAGCTTTCCTCTCATCTTTCTGTTAAACAATAATTCCGCAGGGCTCTTACCGGTTGTCGCGTGATCAATACCTCGGTATTTAGTCACATATTTTCTTAGCTCCTTCACCCAGTCTAATCCTTCGGCTTGGGCAATGCGGATCCTCTTCATCAGCGATGCATTTTGTCTCTCTACCTCCCCGTTGGCTTGAGGCCATTTTGGTGTGGTCTTGGTGTGAACAATTCCATTCTGCTTACAATATTCCCGGAATTCTTCGGAGCGGAATTGTGGACCATTGTCTGACTTTATGGTCAGAGGAAGGCCATGGCGGCTGAAAATCTCTTCCAGGTTGTCAATTACTTTCTCTGTGACGGTTGACATCATGATGGCGTACTCATAATAACGACTGTAGTAGTCCACAACAACAATGATTGAGTGTCCCGAAGGAAGTGGTCCTAGGAGGTCTATAGCTAGGTCTTGCCAAGGACCTTCTGGTAATGTCGTGGATCTCAATGGCTCAGGTGGGTCTGGGCGAGATACCAGTTGACATCCGTGACAGGACTTGCAGAATTTCTCTGCTGCCTTATCCATACGAGGCCACCACACCTTACTTCTTAAATTTTGCTTTGTTCCCACAATTCCTAGGTGTCCTTCATGGGCTAAGCTGATTGCCTGAGCTCTGAGTTTGTTTGGTAACACAATACGGGTACCTCTCAAGACTAGCTGTCCAATCACACACAGTTCTCCTGCGGCTGGTGCATAGTTTTTGCACTTCTCAAATCTGCCAGTTTTGATTGCTTCTCTCAGGACTTTTAATTCTTCATCTGTTGCAGATGCTTCTTCGACTTCTCTCGTGGTTAAAGGAGAACTGAAGCCAAAAATTGAGTTAATTTCTTTCGATAGCCAAAGTGACGAAATTCTCGATTTCAAGCGTTATTTGTGCTAAATGTGTCTTACCTTGGAGAAATATTTCTTTAAAGTTTGTATTTTCGCGCTGTTTCGGCTTTCAAACCGTGGGCACCAATTTTAAATCAGCGGTCTTCCAAATGAGCCTGTGACGTATGTTATGGGGATCACTTTAGAACGTGTTATCGTTCAGCTAAGTTTTAATACAAATTGCGTCTTCGTCGACCCTTCGTTATGAGCGGAATAGAACCATTTCAGTTCGAACCAGTATATCAGCCTGGAGAAGAACCACCTCAGGAAGAGAGTGTAGGACAGGAGGTAGAAGCCCACGAAGAAGACAATACTTCGAGGATGGGAAACACCGAATGGTGTTTGTGCGGCGCTTGTGCGCTTATGCCGGTGGCAAATGAATGTTACTGCTGCCAAGAACTAGAGGAGCTTAATCAAAAGTTCGACAATTCAGGTTTGTACTTATTATGTGATTATTCTCACGAGTATTTTGTTTGAAGCGACCGCTTCTTTGCTAAGAGTGACAAAAGGTGGACAATTGCAAACTCGATCTTAGTTGTAATTGCAATTACAAGGTCTGATGGATGAAAATTATTGAAACAGTGAGGGAAATAAAATGTTAAGACTTTTTTCTTCTTGATAGGTGTTAGATGTATAACAGAACATCCGAAATTTGGTATTGTATGCCTGGACACGGATGTTTTGAGCACGGCATTGGTTGCAATCCACAATGCGCGGCTCAATCCAATTCCCGACCCTATCGTCAACAGGTAAACTGTCTTTTTCTTTCTTATTTTGTACGCGTAATTAAGTCAATCGCTTTTGTGACTTTATCTCCTCTTGTTCTCTAGAACTTGGCGTTTGGCAGCCTACAGACAATTTACTTGGTGGGCACATGGGGTATTAGGAAAAAACCGGCGGAGAATCGTGCCAGCATGCGTCGTCACGGCCATACGTAAAACATTTCCAGAAGAGAGTGGTAATTACGTGGGGTTTCGAGGAGCAGATCTGGAACTTTGAACTTTATCCGTAATGTCCTTTAATAATGATTAGTAACATATCCTTTGCGTGTATAACACCAGAGGCTCTTCTTTCCTTATGTTACGGTTTCTTTCTAAAATTTGCGTGAAATATACAATTACTTATCGAGGATATGAATTACTAACACATTTCTGCATAGTGATTCAGTCAAAAGCCATGCAGAGCCAAACGAATGTCATCCCTACTGCAGTTATTAAATTATCCACATTGCCAGGGATAGCTGCGTGGCCTGAATGAAATAAACCTCAAACCTAACTTTGATTGCTTTTTGCTACGATGATTGCTTTTATTTTCATTTGATTGTGTTATTGACAAAGTTGTTGTATTTAATTATTCAAAAATCTCGAAGTATGATTAGCAATGACATCTGCTTTAGGAGGGCGGGGTTTGCTGGCAATGTTTACAGGAATGTGTGGTGCTGTGACTGTTGCACTCCTCTCTTGTGGTTTTAAGCATTTTCTCTCTACAATGGCATTAAGCATTGGCTTGAGATGATAATTGGTTGTCTTCTCAAATATGGGCTTCGCCACCCATTCTTTTGTATTTTTCGGAAACACCACCTTATATTGCAGCTCCCCTTGGTTGGCACCCCTGGATACAGTGGCTTGTTGTCTACCAGTGTTGGCATTATGGTCTAGGGCTGCCAACTGAGTTCGAGCAACCATGCCATTATAAGAGAAGTGCTGCCGTTTGGGTGCATATTTGGTCTGCACACTATGGTACACCTCTAAATTGCCAGTATGACAACTTAGTGTTAGTTGCTGAATGTCCTTCAACAGATTTTTATCGAATACAACCTCCTTCAATGCATTATGAGCAGAGGAGCCAGGCCTAAGCCACCTTTTAGTTCTTGCGATTGCTGGAGGGATTGGTTGGTGGGCACATTCCTCATACAGGTCAGCTGAATCCCAGGAGTGGATATTGGCAGTGTGATAGACAATGGATATCCACTTCTCTCTCAACATCTCCTTGTCTCCCCCACATGTTTTGGCACACCACCAAAGGTGGTTTGAGATGGATCTGATCCAGAGAGAGATCAGCACATTCTCTCTTCTTTGCTTTTTCAGTTAACTTTTTAGTTATACTCTTGGAAAGGTGCCACACATCAAATTGATGATCAACTTCAGGGAAATTTCTTTTCATGTCAGCCCTAATGCCCACATGACGGTCAGTTGCAACAACCATAATTTTCCCCCCTTTTTCATAGATGTTTTCCATACAGCGTTTAAAACCCTCTCTTTCCATGGCATTGCTATTATTTACTTCACTGACCTGAACAACCTTGAAGTCAACAATCTTATCAGTTTTCTGATCAATCATGGTATATGTCCCATATTTTGCATTATGGCCAGGACTGTCACAACGCCCATCCCCTGAAAGCCACAGATCTCGCCCCCCTACCTCAGAAAAAGTGGAATTTTGTTCTTTAAGCCAGAACTCATTGATTACGGGTAATAAGTACTTGTTTTGAATATTATAAAATGTTTTCTCACTGAAAATTTTCAAATTTAAGATATCTGCCAAAGATGCTACTTTTGTAAAGGTAGAGCCACTGAGCAAAATAGATGATGACAGCAACAAATTTCCAGCTGCCATCCCCTCAAGCATTGGCTGGCTTTGCCAGGAGTACTTATGATTATTCATACATTCTAGGGTGACAAATAGTTGGCTTCCTTGTGTGGATTGGTTCCTCTTAATCACAACTGCACCACACTCAGGACAGTACTTAAACAATTTAAATAGCTCTTGTTTAAATACAATGTATTTGGTATCATCCTGTGGCTTTTCGCATTTTGTTTCCCCTTGGTGTTCGTTGTCTGATCCTGACAAGTTCGAATCATCTGAATCTTCCTGTTTTGTGGGAAGGTAGATGCCATCTTTTCTTGGAGAGACTTCTGGGGAAGCAGCAGCTTCAGTTGCTTCTCCCTTGTTATCTTCAATTTCAGGAAGGAATACCTCTTCAGTCTGGGTGCTGCTTTCTGAAACATCAACCTCGACTTGGGTGTCAGTAGATTTCATCATTAAATGAAGACCACGAAGATTGACTTGGATCCCAAAATCCACACCCTTGTTTGGCAAATTCACTTGCACTGCTTGTGACTCAACCAACGTGCTTTTAGGCCCTAAATCATGTGGGAATGGATATGATGGGCTGTCTGAGGTTGATGTACTTGCTCCACAATTCACTACATCAACAGGTGCAGGCTGTTCTAAAGCTGAAGCTGCATGTTCTTCGATTCCACAACTAGGTTGTGCAGTGATAGAGGCTATATACTATAACAGAAAAAATATTAACTCTGTTATGGTATGGGTTAGTGACCCTTTGAGAGAATGAAAAATGTGGGTATGAGGGATAAACTATGCTACTATATGGTTACACAATGATTCAATGGGATTTTCTTGGAAAATATAACACCTGACCCTGCCCTCCTGTGGTTGAAAGCCTGCACTGGTTTTAACTTAGAATTTCCAGTTGTATTAAGTTTTTATTCACATAGAGGTAAAGAAGGTTAAAAGAATTCATTATTTAAAGAATAATATCCACAACTTACATATAGTCTATTTGTACTAATTTTATTCACCTGCTAGTTAACAAGGGACAGGTATAATGTTCCTAGAATTAAAGAATAATCACTTTATTCTGAAACAATTTAATTTTGTTTACCTACTGGTCAAACATTTTCAGGAGAGATGAAGTACAAAGATGACTCAGAAAAAAAAAACATGAAACTAGAAGGAATTCCATGGCAGGATATTGTTTTGCTTAAGGAGAAGAAATACTTTTCTGTGAAAATTTAATGTTTCTCAATGGAACCTATTCGGGTGATATCCCTTAAGATATAAATTGTTATTGCCTCCAAACTGCATTCACCTTTCAATTTTTTTATCAATCATGCATAAATGATGAGCAGCTTTAAGAGTTTGCAACAACCCAAGCTTTGCAACAACCCAACCCAGATACAAGAGAGTAATTCGCGATTCACTTACTTCTTTTCTGACTTTCTCTTCTGAACGTTTCTCCGATGAAAGTCGAGGTCTTTTTGATGGTCTCCGATGCGAAAAAACCGTGGGTATTGCACCTGGTTTTAGCGTAGATCTGGGTTTCAAACCAAGAATTTCTGCTTTCAAGTCTCGTTCGTAGCAGTCAGGTGTAAAATGTTCTGAGCACAGCCTGGAGTTTTTCGAAACGACCAGATCCGCTCGTGAGATCTTTGCCAGCCACTGTGATCGTAGAGCTTCATCCCTCGGAAAGCAATGGTAGGATATACCAGTTGTGTACCTCGAGTCGTTGTTACAATCGAACGCCGCGCAGTATACCATTTTTTAGCTCGAAAGTAATCGAAGTAAATATAGCAACGAGGGCTACTCAACCGCCAAGAACAGATAGAAGAATAAACTCAAACAACTCGGGCTTCCGTATTTGTACATCCTTTCTTGCGTAAGCCAAGAATTTAACCCATTATAGAAAACTTATAAACCAAAGTTCAACACGAATTTCAAAATTTTATTTCGTTTTGGACTTCTTGCGACATTGTTAACAGCGTGCGTTATCGTACATGCCATTGCAAAATCCAGACTACAAACGCGTTGCAAACTAATGTTAAAAAAGGTAAATAACAAAAAATGGGAAACAGAATGGAAGATGAAATATCTTAAATTACCAGTATGTAAGAAAAATTAAAGTGGAGACCCTATTCCGAAAACATCGAGGTCAATCCAAGTATAAAAGATGCGCCGCACATGATCTGGACACGTAACTACGTTTCAGAGACACAGGGTTACGAAAGCCAAAATATTTTTCTCTTACACAATCCCTGGACAGAAGACCAATTTTCTTATATGAGAGGCGATTGAATCATTTTTTGCTTCACCTTGCACAATCTTTACTCCTGGAAAACCACAAATTCTTTCCCACGAGCAAGCCGCAGTTCTGAATTCAACTTGCCTGTTTCTTGCTGTGTTTACCTTCATCCCCATAACCTACGTCACACGCTACAAAAAGAACCGCTGACATTCGTGTTCTGAGCCGACGTACCACAGTCAAATGTCGAGCCAATTATCACTAAAAACCCTTCGTTTTCTGGATGAAAACTGTCGTTAGAGGGAAAAAAAATGACGGAAATTTGTTCCATCATACATAAATGTACGATACACGGTGAAAAAAATTACATGAATTTGGACTTCAGTTCTCCTTTAATGCTTGGGGAGTGGCACTGATAGCTGCGAATCGGATGTACTCTTCTGCCCCATGTGGATGACTCGTCACTTTGTCTTGCTTAAGCAGGCGGGAAAGAGGATCAGCTATATTATTCTGCCCTGGAGTATATACAATTCGGAAGTCGTAGGGTTGTAACCGTATTGTCCACCGTTCGATGCGGGCACAGGGCTTGGAACGTGGCCCGTAGATGACCTCCAACGGTTTGTGGTCAGTTACCAGATCAAATTTCATGCCATAAATGTATGCATGATACCTCTCACATGCCCAAACGAGAGCGAGGGCTTCCTTTTCGGTCTGGGAGTACTTGCGCTCACACTCTGTCAAGCTGCGGCTTGCATAGCAAATTGGCACCCATGCTTTATTTTGGTTCTGTAGTAACACAGCTCCGAGGCCGACTGGACTGGCATCAGCTATTACTTTGGTTGCTGCGCCTTTGTTAAAATATGCAAGTGTTCCTGCGTCAGCCATGCTCTGTTTCAGAATCTTAAAAGCGGTTTTCTGCTCAGGTCCAAAGTGGAATGGAACAGCCTTTCTGGTCAAGCTCCTTAGTGGCTCAGTGATAGTAGCGAAGTGAGGAATAAACCTGCTGCTATAATTGGCCAATCCCAGGAAGCTTCTTACTTCGCTGACGGTGGCAGGTTCCCTTGTTTCTTGCAAGGCTCTGATTCTTTCTTCTGTTGGGCCAATCCCTTTTTCAGAGAGAAGAATTCCCATGAAAATCACTCTGTCCACATTGAATAGGCATTTGTCAGCATTGAGA